GTGGTCACCAGGTTGGAGGAACCAAACCATGACATCTTTTATTGAATTGGGTCATAAGATCTTTGACCTCTCTGGCCAGTAGGTATGCTGCCTCCTTTAAATCCTCTTGTGTGGAGTTATTCTATAACACTGTTATCTTTGTGTAGAACACGGCTATCTCTTTAACACAAGACTGAATAGTTTTGGATCATTCAAAACTGAAAGCAGTTCAACTTCTGTCTGTCCCCTCCACACTGAATGTCTATATCTCTTTTAAATGTTGCTGTTTCTTGGGGATGTAGCCTGAGAAAATCCATGTGCTTGAGCCAGTGTACTGTTGGCTCTATGATACTTTCAGTGTGAAAAATGAGGAAAATCTAGCTGAAAGCCTGGCTGGAAATTATATGCAGGAGTTGCTTCCATCTGTGAGCCATAGCTGAAGTGGCTTTGGAAGTTCATCAGTCATCAGAAGTCCTTCTTGGGGAGTGATGACCACACGCCTGAAGGCACCAGGCTCACGGGGGGACTCAATGGCTAAAGCTGCTGCAAGGAGCTCTGCTTCCACAACAGGGTCTGCTGTGACCGCTGTGACTTGGGATGTCCTTGGGGCTTTGCAGTGAGCCAGGCCCTGCTGAAGCTGCTGCTGGAGGAGGGGCAGTAGGTGCCTTTCCCGTTCCCCAGCAGCATGTGTGCCAGCCCATCACCACACACCTTTAAGGCAAATGTATTTATAAGCATATGTACGGAAAAGCTTCCAAGAGGCTCAACTGTGTTCACTCCTCAAGTTGGTCTGAAAATTGGGAAACTGCAAAAGAGAAATGTTGGATTTATTTTCATGCCTCTTCCTGCCTGGCTTTTGAAGGAGGGTTTCACGCAGGTTTATCCTGTGAGAGCTGAGGAGGATGCTGGTGGTGCTGGTCACCTCGGCCTGCTTCCCGCAGGCTCCGTGGACGTTGTGGCCGCTGCTCTGAAAGCATTTGCTGTGACTCATCCTGTCTCTAACCTTGTCTGTGGGAAGATTGGAATTATCCCCCGACAGCGGTGGTAGCTCTGGCAGCCTCGTGCCTACACCTTTTGGCATTGGTCTCTGCCCGACACCTGCTCTGGGAGCTGGGACTCCCTGCGCAGCTCCAGCCCCTGTTTGAGCTGTGCTCCCTGGCAGCTTCTGCAAAACCCTCTTGAAAAAAAGCCCTGCTCCTTGGTCACTCTGACCCTTCCAGATGGTACTTTTTCCTTTTTTTCTTTTTCTTTTGACAGCAATAAGTGTTTTTTCTAGCTGAAAGGTCGAGGGGATGGCAGCATCTTCTCACCATGGTGAGCAAACTGAGCACGGGCCCAGCCTTACCCGCTGTATTGCGCACAAGAGGCTATTTAATTATTTACAGGCTGACATATATCATTTAATATATAAAGCATCTACCAGCCCACAGGCAGAATGGCTGAAAGCAGCCTGCTTGGCACCGCGTTTTAACTGAAATCCCTCGATGCTAGCTTTGTTTTGCATAGCACTTTGTAATACTGTTAGTTGACTTGGCTGCAGTTTCACAAAGCATTTTTTTCCACTTGGTTCAACACTCAGTTGAATTTAATGGGACTGGAGCCAAATCAGTAATGGAAGCCAAGTGCTGATGTTTGTTTGGTGTGCAGTTCCTGACGAGGAATATATATAGTAATTGTCTCTTGCTCCTCAAAGCTGTAACTCTGGCAGAGGGGATACTCGAGTGAGCAAGCCAAATATTTAAAATCATAATCAGCTAGTGATGAAAACATGTATTTATGGCTATAATGAGTTGCATCAAAGCAAGAAACATTTGTCTTCTCCATAGAAGTAACAATGTCTGTTAATTCAGAAATGCCTGTTTTTAAATCACACAAAGATCTGTCAGAGCTAAAAAGCTGAGATCTTGGCCTGAATGTCTGGCTTATTTCACAATGTGTTCCTAATATTCACAATGATGTTGGTAATATTCACTTAGAGCTGCAGTTTTAAGCCCTGGTTACCAGGTTCTGCATCGAGGCGTGATAAAGGAATGTTAGGGCACATCATTAAAGCGTTCGTCAGCCCGGGCTTGCAGCTAGATTGTTTTGTTTGTTTGTTGAATGCTTCACTTTATCCTATTTTACTGTTTTCTGGCACATCAATGATTTGTTGTTTTGGGGGGCTTTTGTGGTTCCGGGAGGGATTGAGATGCTCTCAAGCTGTGCGTTGATAGTGAGAGCAGGTATGAATCCGGGACTTTTCCTACTTAAGGAAATTGCTTTCAGCCCACCTTTCATCCCTGCTACTTTTCAGCTAGCAGAATGCTGTCAAAAAAAAAAAAATTAAAAAAATGCAGTTTATAAACAACTGCCTTTTAATAACTTCCTCCCGACTCAGGCGTTGAGTCATCTCTCTCCCCGGTCCGTAGGATGTCATCCTTCTAACGAGGTGGCACGTTAGGGAAGATGCTACGCAGGGTTTCTGGCTCCGATCCCGCAAGGCAGTAGAGCTGCTGTTGTGATGCTGCGGCCAAATTACAAGGGAGCCAGGTCTGAATCATCTGGGCGTAGTAGCGCTGTGTGGACGTCAGCGTGCTGAGCCGGGGGAACCCTGAGCTGGCTTTGCCCCGGACAGGGCTGGGGGTGGGTGTTGGGTGGGTGTTGCTCAGGTTTGTTGTGTTTTCTTTTTTTCTCATTGAAATACTCGGAAGCTTGTAGGGCTGCGGTGGGCTGCGGTCCTGTTGAGAAGTCCTGGACCATCCGTCAGAATGAGGATGGTGCCCAAGTGGCAATAGCCTTGTGCAGCAGCTGGCCACCTCAGCCCAGGTTTTACATGACCGCCTGGGCATCTTTTCCATGGGCACTTTGACATTAAGTCATCTCTTATTCTGTATGCCTGGATATCTGGCGTTCTACATTTTGTTCACAGTACCGCAGTATTTCACTGCAGTTTTATGTTATTAGGTTAAAGCTGCACCTCAGTTTTTGAATTTCAAGCCTTATTTTCATTTTAAAAAGGGCTGGATAGTTCGGAGTTTTTCATAAATGTCATTTCACAAACTTGCATTGCGTAACTTTTAATTTATTAATCATTGACTGGTTTGGGCTTGAAGGGACCTTTAAAGCTCATCTAGTCCAACGCCCAGCAGTGAGCGGGGACATCTTTACCTACATCAGGTTGCTCAGAGCCCTGTCCCACTTGACCTTAAATGTTTCCAGGGATGGGGCTTCCACCAGCTCTCTGGGCAACCTCTGCCAGTGTCTCACCACCCTCATTGTAAAAGTTTTCTTCTTTATATCAAGTTTAAATCTCCCCTCTTTTAGTTTAAAACCATTGCTCCTTGTCCTATTGCAACAGGCCCTGCTTTCTGTTGTCCCCAAATTTCTTCAAATTCTGGTAATAACAGACATCAAGAAAACATTTGGGGGGGCAAATTGTTTTTCTTAGTTTTGTGAGGGGGTTTTTTGTGTATATTTTTTTTTTTTTTTTTAACACGGCTTAAAAAGTAAGAGTTAACCTGCTCCATTTGCTTCCCAAACCCCATGAAGGCGGAAGGAGTTCATTGCAGCATCTCCAGTGGTACCTTCCCAGCAAACAGGATGGCTCTGGTTTAATTGCAGTGAAATGTGTTGAGCTGCCTGTTGTGCAAAAAAAAAAAAAATACCCCTTTTTGTGAAAAAAGGGGAAATGATTGACCTTTGGGGCACTGGAATTTCTGATCCATGGAAGTCCCGTTGGATCATACTGGGGAGATGAGAAACTGGAGCAGCTCCAGCTCTGCTCGTCTCCATGGTTTGCCAGTTCTGTGATGCATTAAAATGGCATTAAAATATTTATTTCCCAAATGATACTGGAAACAGGGCAGAACCATGGTCATAAGAAGTCTTTGTGGCAGAACTATGTTGGAACTGTGTTTGAGTTTTTTAAAAGCTTTTTCTTTCCATTGGATTTTGAGGTGTTCACAGGCTGAAATTCTGACTGAAGGTGGAATGCATTTCTTTTCTGCTTTCATCCCTGTTTGTACTTCAGAGTTGGACTGTTTGCTTGTCAATGTAAAGCCTGAGCAGTGTAATCCTCCGTAATTCTAATTGCCAGAACTGGGATGTTTTACGTTATCCCGATGCAATGCAAATGGGTATCTTTTGCACGTGCATGATGCCTCATCACTTGCTGTGCCATGGGGATGCTGCAGAGTTTGGGGAGTGTTCCAGAGCCAAGATCTCCGTTCAGCTTCTCAATATCTCAAAAAAAAAAAAAAAAAAAAAGGGAGTGGGCAAGGAGAGGTAGATCTTTGGTTGTAATAGTTGTTAGTTCACACCTGACTTACAGCAAAAGAAATACCTTCATGCAAAAAAAAAAAAAAAATTTCTCTGTAGTTAGCAGCAGTGGATGAGCAGGGATCCTTGGAGCGTTGTGGATGTGGCCGGCTCACCTCGTGTTTTCTATGTAGGGAGTTTTGGCGAGGCTGGGACAGGTCCCACAGCAAGGCGATGGCCTTGGGCTGTGTTAGATGCAGAACAGTGCTGCTCTCTCCTATCACCCTGCATTCTTTTTTAGAATCGTGTGATTCAGCAGGCAGAAGAGCCTTCCTGCCCAAGGGAGCGTGTGCCTGCGCGTGGTTCGCATTGCTGCAGGACCACGAGGTTTAGGATTAGTTCATCTGTCTAGGTTTGTGATACGGGCATGTGTTTTGCGTGTGGATTTGCTTGAGTGAGCAAACTGGAAGGGTGTGGGTGCAGAAGGCGGCACCAGTAACTTTCAGTGCTATTTTGGTGTGACTGAGGTATGTGAGACTGAACTGGCAGATTCCAGCTGCTTTGGCTAATCCTAATTGGATCCCACTACAAAGTCAGTAATATGTCTGTAAATTTAATAAACTTACTTAACTGTAAGATCAAGGAGCTGGGAAGGAGGATCATTTGATGCGTTTGTTTTAAATTGCCTTCAAACAGTTGAATGGGGAGCTGTGTGTTTTGGTGGGGAAAACCCACTATGTAAGATACCCAAAGATGCTACAAATGTGATTCTCTTCTGTTTACAGCTCCCAGCCCCACTACAGCTGTTCCTTACATGTCAGTGAAGTGCATTGATGTACGGAAAAACCACCACAAAACCAAGTGGCTGATGCCCTGGGGACCCAACCACTGCGAGAAGCTCAAAGACTTCGACGAGGCGGTGAGCCGGCAGATTGAAGCCAACGACATCGTGTTTGCCGTACACATTCCCCTGCCCAGCAAGGAGATGAGCCCCTGGTTCCAGTTCATGCTTTTCATCATGCAGCTGGACATCGCGTTCAAGATGGACAACGACCTAAGTAAGTCCCTCTCCATCATTCGTGCTGGCTGTGGTCTGATTTTCCTAACGTGTTTCTCTTAAAGTTGCTTTGACCTGTCTCTGCCCACAAAATACTCTGTCTCAGGACTTGAACTGGTTGCTGGTTTCCCGGCGCTGAAGAATTTAAGCTGTGCTGTTCTGATCTGTGTTCACCAAGTGCGTGGTGGGTTTCTAAACTGCGAGCTAAAGTACTTGCAAATCAGTAATTTCATTTACTAAGTTTGCACGAGGAGCTTGCAAGAAGGAATGCTTGTGTCTGAGCTTTTAAACAGGCGCCAGTTGCAGAAGAGTTGATGTTTATTTGCTGAGCCTTTGTCATAATAATAACTTTAACCTCTTCAGTTTGAGGTTGGTGAACTGAAAGAGTTGCCCTGGCTTCCACCAATTGTTGTGAGGTACATTTATTTTTTGTTGTTGTTAGGATTTGATAAAACCAGATGGAAAATACCTTTGGGCCTTGAAACCTCAGTGGTCCAAATTCATTGGAAAACTGTATAGGTTCAGGAATAGTGGAAGATGCTGTCTTACTAGGAGCCAGTAACTGAGGGAGCTCAGCCAGGCTGAGCACCTGGAAGCAGATTCCTAAAATGCTAAACAAGCTTTTGACGGTAATTTGTCCTGGATGTGCAGCGAGCTTTCCTTCAGGTCATTATTTGTGCTGTTCAGTGACTGAGTCCTTCAAAGACGGGAGCTTTTGTTTGGTTGTTGTTGGCTTTTTTGAGATTTTAAAGCAGAAAAGCTTGTCCTGTGCCACCCCCTGGGTAATAGAAGTCAGATTTGAGGTGAGTGGTACCACTTCTGCAACTGGGACAGACTCAGTTTCTGGTCATTAGTTCAGTAGCTGCTGGTGAGTTTTGTTTATAAGAAGCATTTGGAAATGAGGAACATCAATACTTATGGTGTGAGCTTACTTGGCACATCTTGAAGGTTTTCTTTCATTGACTGAAGAAAGAATTTTAAGATGCTATTTTCCTATGCTTTGTGCCAAACTGAAGGCAGACGTAAATTAAGTGTAAAATCTAAGAAACTAGTGAGTAATACATCTCTCACTTGCTAGAGTGTGTCATAACAGATTAAATAAAACTAAATCTTGTTAAGCCAAAATAATTGCATGTGTGTCTAGGCATCTTGCTCCTAACTTTACATTAGTGTTAAGAGCTTTGTTGATCAGGTAATTGGAATGAGCTCCTCAAAAGAGGCAATACTCAAGATGTGAAATAACCTCATTTCTTCCTTTAAATTGTCCTCTTCCCCAGGGCCAACACACAGAACAAAAACCTCCACCCGCTATGTGTCCATGGATTTGGTTTTTTTCTGGGAGTTCTGGCTGCTGCAGCCCTCCAGGGAGAGGGATGCTCCGTGCTGAGGGCAGCCAGGCTGCCCACGGGCAGATGTTGGGGTGGTTTGTGGACTCTGGGGAGCTGGGGTCGGCCTTCCTCATCTAGCCAGGAAGGTCTTTCGCAGGGTGGAGGGAAAACCCTTGGGGAGAGTCACCTGGAGCCTCACAGGGGCCAGGCGTCCCGAAAGGCCCTGTGGGATCTGCACCCTCTGGAGGAGGAGCCAGCCTTCGTCATGTCTGCCTTGGGGAATTTGCTCTGGAGTTTTTTTGATGTGGTTGTTTAGAAATGATTTTGAAGTGTGGATGTAGAATCATTCGGGTTTGAAAAGACCCCTGGGATCATCAAGTCCAGCCACTAACCCTACTCTGCAAAGCTCCCCCCTAAACCATCTCCCGCAGCCTCACATCTCAATGACCTTGAAACCCCTCCAGGGATGGGGACTCCACCACCTCCCTGGGCAGCCTGTGCCGATGGCTGACTGCTCCTGCTGGGAAAAAAATTTCTCCTACTGCCCAGTGTAACCCTGCCCTGTAGCAGTTTGAAGCCGTTCCCTCTTGTTCTATCACTAATTACCCGTGAGAAGAGACCAGCCCCAACCACTCCACAGCGTCCTGTCAGGCAATTGCAGAGAGTGAGGAGGGCTCTTAGCCTCCTCTTCTTCAAACTCGAACAGCCCCAGACTGTCAGTCTCTTGCCTCCAGTTCACTCCTCCCATCTGCTGTTCTGCTGCTAAATAACACTGTTGTTGTTTTAAAACCCCTTTCTTCTATCTTGAAACCAAGCATGGTGGAATATCAGCTGCTGCTTCTCTCCTCCTTGCCCTCACGCACCTACACCTGCACGGGCGTGTAGCTGTCCCTTAGCATTTGGAGGATTTCAGGAGTGTATTTTGTGTTGGCAGTCTTGAAGAGTTTTGTACTTTCCTTGTGTTTATCCTTCACAGAAAGCTGGGAGAAGCTCAGACTTGCTGTTTCTCTGAGGAAAAGGCTAGTTCTGTGCCCAAGCTGTCCTTGTCCTTTCTTAATGCATTGTGCATTCAATTATTCAAAAGCCCTTTTGAGAACAAGGAAAGGCAGCAGCCAGAAGGAGGTGAAGTTATCTTAAAACCTCCTGCGCCTCAGCTAAAAAGGCTGTGATGGGAAATCTTTGTGCCTCTCATGAGGAGGGCAGCATCTGCAACATTATGCTGGGTGTTGGATGATGATGCCTCCGTTTGTTGGGTGCCGTAACAGCACAGAGGGGCCTTTACAGTTTTTCAGTCCAAAACCCACACGTTTTCTTCTCTTTCTGTATCTAGTGAACTAAAAATGTTAGCAAGCGAGAGTAACTTCTGGTTTCCTCACAGTTGGAAAGCAACTGTGTACAGTTGTGTGGCTAAGCCCCACAGGCTCCTCTTCAAATTCATCTAATTTTGGTTGCTTTGGTAGGTTTTGTAATTTTAGAAAGCTGGTGAAGCATGGAAGCATAGTGCAAATAATTGTAGCACTTCTCTTTGCTTGCATACGCTTTCTGGACAGCTGTATTTGTATGCAACTGGCCCAGAGCCATCTTCTGAAACATCTTCTCTCTTTTTAGACTATTGTAGTGTGAGTGAAGTCATCCCCTGCTAATATCATGCTATCAAGTGAATTGTGGAAAAGATCCTGGGCACTGAACTGCCAATGTGGAAAAAATAGATTGGCAGTGCTCGGAGCATGGCCAGTACCGGGGAGTCCTTTGCTGTTGGGGCGTCACAGCTCTGACCTGTATCTTGGTGTCTCATGGACCTGTGTGTGGAGAGTCACTGAGGGAGCTGAAAACTCAGAACCCCAGCAGGGATGTGTCTTCTCCTGCTTGGTCATCCCTGGAATGCATGCTCGTCTAAAAACCTGTCTTATTTCTGTAGCAGTTTGAATATAATCCTATGATGGTAACGAGATTGTCACTTGGCACTTGAGCTGCTAATGTCAGAGGGGGTTACCGGGCTCCACGAGCTGGACATCTTCTGCAAGATCTGTGCAGACAGGGTTACTCTGGAGCATGCCATGCCATGGTCCTTGTGAGATGAAGTTCCCTGGGATGGGCAATTTCATCTCTTGGTACTGGATTAGATGGAAATGTCTACCTACTTACCGTTTTATCGTTGGGAAATTCTGGAGGATCTATGGAGGAACTGAATAATTGCTTTAGTTGAAGATATTAGCATCTGAGAAACTGAGCACAGGTTTGCAGTGTTTTTTGTTTCTCTTCCTTCCTTGCATGCATTCTTCCTCTTCTGTCGTGGCTCGGGCTTGAATAATTAAAAGATTCTACTTGCTCTCAGCACTTGCAGAAGTAAAAACTGGCTTGACTGTCAGTCTCTTGCCTCCTGTTCACTCCTTCCATCTGCTGTTTTGATGGTACATAACACTGTTGTTGTTTTAAAACACCTTTCTTCTATCTTGAAACCAAAAACATGGTGGAACATCAGCTGCTGCTTCTCTCCTCCTTGCCCTCATGCATGGGCGTGCAGCCTGCCCTTGGTGTTTGGAGGACTTCAGGAGCGTATTTTATGTTGGCAGTTTTGAAAGGTCTTTGTACAAAGCTCTGCTAATGGGAGATGCAGAGACTGATGAAAATTCAGAGAGGGATTCTAATCCATAGTTCTGGAAAGGCACACACTACTTATCTTCTGCTTTCTGGTTTTCATACTCGATGGCAACAGCAAGATTTGGATTGCAAAGATGAAATAATGAAAAGCTGTTTTTGTTGGATTTAATCCCAAGCATTCCAGTTGGTTTTATGGCTTCTGAAATGAAGTTCCTAGTTCTTTCTAGCCTGGCCAAGTTTAACCTTATGTTCCCATCTATCTGTTTTGCTGGTCTTCTAAATAGTGGCTCCGAGATGGCAAATCCGTGTTTCATGGAAACCTAACTCATGGCTGCTGGGGAAAGGAACTTGAGATCAATCTGGATGGTGTAGATCATGTGTGCCGAAAAAAAAAAAAAAAAAGAAAGAGGAAAAAAAGCTTAGAAAAATCTTGATGCATCCACATCAGCTGCATGACAGAGCCACCTCCAAACGCTCTATAAATAGCAAGTCTGAACCACAGGTCCCATCCACGCCCCTTCCCATCATTTTGGATGAGTATGCCACCACACAGTCCTGACACAAATACAACTGCAGAAGATGACAAATATGTGGGACATGCGCCGCTTGGAAGACTCACACTTACTTGTAGACATGAAACAGCCTCCCTTCAGAATGATGAAGACCAGATTTTTGAGCTGAACTTCAAAGCTGGTCTAGTGTTGATGAGTCTGTGCAGCCTGTGGCTGCGCGCGGGCAGCTGCGGGGAGCTGGCCGTCCAAG